TTGGGCATTTGATGCTTGTTAACGAGTATTAACTGAAATTGCTTGGGAATTCAATAAACTTGATTGTGAATACACAACAGTCACTTATGGAAGAAACAGTACAAGATTAGTTAAAATTTAAATAAATTTGAAGTACCGATCATCCCTGCAAAGAACTCACCGTATATTTCATTTAGATGTTTCTTATATTCTATCAACTGTTAATTTATATCAAGTAGGATGAAGCTCTTTGACTCTAAGTAACCGGTTGCAAAATAATGAACATTTGCTAACATTGGAATGAAAACACGTGTACAATTATCCCCCTTCTTACCCAACAATAGTAACTTTCCATTCAAGAAATCTAAGAGACAATTTGGCATAGTAAACTTATTTGAATCCACATATTTACACATCTGCTCAATGTCCAAAGCATTCTTGAACATGAAGTCCTAAATAACTCTCCGATTGACGAATGGTTTCATTTGCATAAATGCCTAATAGCTCAATAAATACATCACTAGGTCGACATGCTATGTCAATGAAAATGGTACTTAACTAACAATGTATCGTATATGAATATACTTCATATAAAATTGTGCTTGCATCATAACCAAGCCATTCTCAGTCTCTCACTACTTTGCGAAACCATTGCTTGGCGCTTGTGATTTGAAGTCTCCTTAATTGATGTGCGACGTTAGAAAAACATTGTTGTAAATGATTAATAACTTTAAGTTGAATTATAGTATATTATAAACACCAATGTTACTTATCAACTTCCTGTATTATTGTACCATTTAAGTAACTCTATCTTCTTGATCGGGCCGAACTTCATGCTTTCCATGAATGTTTTCTTTATCTTTGATGTGAATGGAGAACTCACATGTTGTAATTGTATTTTCTCTCTTACCTAACACCGTTGGCATATCTACCTTAGCCTTTCGCTTTCTATTTTCCATCCCATTCGCAACTCCCTTTGTCACTTTAGTCCCATCTGTTCCCATCCCAACAACTGTCTCCCACCCAAACTCCTCTATCATCCCATATGTTTGATGATAGAGTCAAGCAAACTCAATAAATATATCCACCTTTTTATTTAAAAGTTCTACTTCATTTTACACAATATTTGTCAAGTGACACATAAATTTGTGCTCCATTATTGACATTTTTCTTCCTAAGCATTCTAATAAATCATTGAAGATACTATAGCGTAAACATGCAAGAGGTGAATGTCAACGTTGTGTAGGAGACTGATATGTAGATAAAGATATATATGTGGAATGATCTATCACTATCCATTGTGGTGGAGATATCTACGAGAATGGAAATCATCGTACAATACAAGAGTGCTCCTAAATAAATAAGAAAATTGGAATTATTACAATCTTATCATGTGTATTAACAAAATAGAACTATAAATTTGAATACTTCCACCCCGTCAAGATAGGCATCAATGATTGGATCTTCTTATCTAGGTGAAAGGTACAATCCTCGCACGTATCCCTGTTCCATCAGCTCAACTGTAGCCAATAGCACTGTAAGAAGTTCAAGCTGACGTATTGATATTCCAAGAAATGTTAGTTGTCATGTATTGAATTAATAAATGGATATAATTTATAAATGTAAATGTATACCTATTCTAGAATGGTCAAGGATAGCAATAATATCTTTTCCATTAGGGTATCCATCATTTACCTATTCATCATCCTCAAGACCTCGTCTAATCACTTTCTAATATCCATTTAGCTGACAATGCTGAGATAGCTTCATATACCTATACCTATACCTATACCTATACCTATAAAACTTATTAGCATTACATGTAGAAATATCATAAGGTTGTGCAATTTATGTGCACGGCCGGTGAAAACATGTAGTATCATATTTGTACTCAATATTCGACGATTTTTTTGAATGTCCAAACTTAATGCAATGTATCCATAAAACACCTCTTACCTTATTGATATGTGTGAATACATCAACTTCGTCTACTTCGTCCAAGAAAATAGATTGATCGACGCCTTCTGGTTTTGCATTTAAACATGGTCTTAAGGATAAAATGCTAGCACAAACTTATATATATGATGCATCACTGTGGCATCCATCAAATGCAATCTCCAAATGCATTAGAGAACCATAAATCTGCATCTAAAATATTCATTCAACAGTCTTTTGTTTCGATGAATTTTAAGTCTAACTGTTTCTTCAATATTTAAATTTTAATCCTTTAATGATGGTAAACCCGAATAAAAAGAATCGTGCAACATTCCCCTCTTCTAAACAAAACCCCATTAATGATTTGGCCAGAGAACTAAACGTGCCTTATATGAAATTTTTTTCAGAAACATGAACAATGCGACTTCTCTTTATGATGGTAATCTAGAGCATCTATACTTTTTTTTTTCTATATTTTTGATGTTACAATTAGAGTGTGTTTGATTGATATATAAAATATTACTTAGAAAAGAAAATATTTTCCATCTTTTGTGGAAAATAAAAACCACATCTACTCTAGGAAAATATTTTCCTTAAAAATGTTAAGCATATTTTCAAAAGTTGGAAAAAAAATTTCATGGAAAAAAATAGCAATCAAACACTCCAAATAAAAATTTGGGTGGAAAACTGATATTTTCCATGGAAAATAAATATAATCAAACACACCGTTAGTGTCACATTCCCTACAAATTCACTAATTCTATTGTCAATAACATACTTCATTTTGTAATAACACATTAAATTAGAAATTTATATAAAAAATTCTAGTTAAGAAAAGCTTGCAAAATATAGTTCATCACTGACTGCAAGAGGTTGATGAGGAACAATCTTTCAAACTTTGAGACTATAAGGGGTTGAAGATGAACATTTCACTCAAATTGGAAGGGCTTAGTGAGGCCTCATAGACCCGTTCCAATCGATGAGAAATAATCATCAAAATCAACGAAGGACATTGGGGGTTGGTAAAGAACAAAATTTAGAATTTAAATTCATAATCAATTTAAATTCAAATTTAAATCATAATGCACAAATTAAAACACAAAACTAAATTGCCAAACAATATTTTATACTAAAAATTAGGGATGACGAAAATAACCGTTAAACCCGATATCCGCGGGGTCGTGCCCCGAATGGGGTGGGGATTACCTACTTAATAGGGTAATGGGTCAAGTACATGTAATGGTGGCCTCGCCTCGTCCCATTTATTTTTTTCTTTTTTAAAAAATTCAATACTTTAAATAAAAAAAATTCTACAAAATTTCATTAATTATAATAGAAGATGGCAACTAAAATTATCTAAAGAATATGATAAACAATAAAAACCTTAATTTACCAAATATATTCGAATAATTTAACTTTAAAAAATAAATAAATAATTTAATAATCATATTATTGTCTTACTTGAATGAATCGAGGCAATAAAATGAATTATCAACAATTATATATATAAAAAAATTAAACGGGTAAGTAAATGGGCAACCGCCCATCCCTACATGCCTCGCCCTCGACCCGCCCCATCTTAAAAGGATAATGAGGTGGGTACAGGGCAGGAAAATGTTTCGAACCTACCCCATTGGCATCCCTACTAAAAATTCACAATTTCTCATCCAAACGAACTAAAAGGAGAAAAATAACTACAAATATGGAAAAAGTTAGACGATTCAGATTATAACCTTGAAATGTGTTTATCGTATTTGTTTTGAATCCGATGGAAAAGAAGATCTCACAAACGAGTTTGATTTCTTAGACCATGGTTGGTGATGAAGTTTCCTTTACGAACATTTTGAATTCCTGGTCTTTGGATTGCCTTAGTGTTTATAAAAAGGAAAGGTATATTGGATATTTTTTTCTTTTCATATATTTTAACAGAAATTTAGTAGGTCAAGAGTCTTTTGTAACATTGAATGATATGTTTAAACAAATAAATGATGTTAGCTAACATTTTTTGATATACAATCTACTCCACATGGGTAGGGAAACAAGCCGAGCCACTGGACTGCTTTGACTTGCGTTGAGATGAGTAATGGATCAAGTCAAGTTTAATTTTGTTTCACAAACAAACTCATCTTAAACTTACGAGACGGTTAGTTTCTGGGTTCAGTTTATTAATTTCTTAAAAAAGGTAATAATAAATTTGAGCTCATTCGAGCTAAGCTCGTATGCATACGAACAAAAGGATCTAATCAAATATTTTTCCAGATAGAAATCAAGCCGATTCGAATTGGTCTATTGCCACTACACACATGTTAGGCCAAAACAAGAATTTTCTTGTCCAACACAGGCAACCAATCATAATATTACTTGACCCTTAAATATAAACAAATTCTGGATGCATTCTGATATCTCGGCATATGTTTTTTAAAAAAATAATTTTAGGTACATTTGATTGCGAACATGGTATTTGTATGGAAAAAAAATAAATTTTAGACACTTCAATTGTCTAGAACTCATTTGTATGAAAATTATTAATTGAATAAATGTATTTGATTGATTTAGTTTTCAATTTAAAAAATATTATACTTATCCATTTTTTATTAGTGGGTCGTGGGAGAGATGTGATAGATAAGAGAGTAATAGAGAGTGAATTACTTGAAAAATAAAAATCACTATTATTAAAGAAAATATTTTACTTGTATTTGAGGAAAATATAATCACATAATCAAAAGTTGCTAAATATTTTTTATTGAAAAAGTTGTCAATCCAACACCCAAAAAGTAGAATTTTGGATGGAAACTAATATTTTTCATGAAAAAGGAAATCAATCACACACAATTAGTGAAAACAGGCCATTTTCATGCGTTAATTAAAAAGGCCTTTATTGTGTGAAAATGTTAGTTCCTTTCTTCATTTAAATAAATAGTATAGATACAAATAGTAAAACTTAATAAAATTATTATCAATAAATCAATAAACACATAAATAATTTTTCTAAAATAATATATTTTTTCTTAATATTAAAAGTGTTAAAATTTGCAGAACGTACTAATAAGGGTACTTTTGAAATAATGATTAAAATGGGGTTTATTTTACACATAGAAGCCAACAGATCTCTGGTCTTTCTCCTCTGTCTACACTGTGAGCGCCGCCGCCCGCCATTTCTGTCTTTCTCTTCTGTCTGTCTACACTGTGAGCGCCGCCGCTCGCCGGCCATATCTGTTTGCTGCATTACAAAGAACCATTTCAACTTGACCTATATTCTTGCATTTTTTCCGTTTTCAGGTACAAGCCTTCGTTTCCTAAATTATGTCTTGTTTGCATTTTCTCACATTTGATTTTTAATTACTAAGAATGAATTGCAATGCAGCAGCTCTTATAATTGCCTCCACGATGGCTACAATTTGTCTGGCCTTTTCCTTTTCTGTTATTAATTAGTTGTAACTGAATTGACGACATTAAAATTTGTTGCGAGTTTGTCCTTTATTTGTTCAAAATTATCGAAAGCTTCCCTTGTCATTGTTGGTACTCAATTTTATTATGATTATTATTATTTATTTTTAATTTTTTATTAATTTTTTTATATTTTTCACGCGTTGTTTGAAAGTTGAATGCAATCTTTGTTTGAATGTTTATTCTGAAGTAGCTGAATTTATCATATGATATGTTGATTGTTTGCTAGATTTCTGACACTACCTTTGGACGCTTGTATCGGCGGAGAAAGTTAAACAATCAACTTTCTCTGATTCTGGAGAAATTAATTTCCCTCATTTGCCTGGATCTCTTTATTTTTTGGGATATTCATTGAACATGGCGGCCTCACTGCATGTAAGTGGATTCAAAACGCCATACCCAGCTGGAACTTCATGTCTACGGCCTGTTTGGTCGTATCCACGGCCCAATTTTTCTGTATCTGCGGCTCCTGCTTATGAATTATGTACTTCACTGAAGGGTTCATGTCGGGAACAAGCCCTGCGAGTTAGTTGTGAGGCTGGGAAGGTTGATGTACTTGAAAGGCATGGTACTGAGAACCAAGGTTCTGAAGAAATTGCTAACGAATTGACGTGTGTAATGAAGTTTGGGGGTTCATCCGTTGCCTCAGCAGATAGAATGAGAGAGGTAGCTGACCTCATTCTTAGCTTTCCAGAAGAAAGGCCTGTCATAGTTCTTTCTGCAATGGGGAAAACAACCAACAAGCTCTTGATGGTACTTCTTACATCTTGATATAAATTTTCTCATTCGATGAGTATTCTTTGTGAATTCTTTTGAGAAGATGTCCTGATGAAATGATTGGCTTGTATATCAGGCTGGAGAAAAGGCTGTCAGCTGCGGTGTGTCAAATGTTTCTGATCTGGAAGAGTTGGCTTTTGTCAAAGATTTGCATTTGAGGTGACCAAGAGCATTCACTTTTTTGTTTGCATTATGTCATATTCCGAATTTTCTTTTTTTATTTAATCTTAACATGGTTTTCTGAATGAGAATTGTTTCATAATAATCAGGACGGTGGATGAGCTTGGAGTAGAAAGATCTACAATTTCAAGTGAGTTATCACTCACAAGTTACAACAATATTTGAACTAACATCTTGATGAACCAACGGATAAGAAGTTCTCATCATACTATTATTGTCATCTTCGATGGCGTTTGGTGAACATCTCAGTGTCAGGGACCAATGTATTTAAGCCCACTAGTGTTGGGGGAGATGCCATTTGAAATTTGATAGAAATGCTCCCTTATGATGTTATTCAAGCATTCTATTGGTGTTCCAATGGCTATTGTGCCATACTGCTCCTATCATTGTTTATTGCACGTGCCATTCAATTTTGTTTTGCATATGAGTTAGTTATTTTGTTCAATTGGTATATTGCCTTCCAACTTTCTGTTAGGGTTAGGCATTGTCTTTATATTCACTAATTTGCAGGTCATGTAATCTTTCCTTAAGTTGGGACTGTGGAAAGCTGTTTGTTAAATTCCTTTGTAACATATTTGCTGTTCTTTTTTCCATTTAAATGTTGATCATGTATAATATATCTAATCTTAACTCTATTTTGTGATTGCCCTTTGTTTGTGGTAAACAATTTGCAGAACACCTATTTGAGTTGGAGCAACTTCTGAATGGTATTGCTATGATGAAAGAGCTCACTCCAAGAACAAAAGACTACTTAGTCTCTTTTGGAGAATGCATGTCCACACGAATTTTTTCTGCCTATTTGAATAAGATTGGTGTCAAATCTCGCCAAGTATGCTTCTTATTTTTCCACTATCTAAAATTTAGCCCTTGTAACAAGTTCTATAAGAATCATGTTAATCCTTGGTTTTGATCTAAAAAACTAGTTATGCTTTTTCTTAGTATTTCTAGGCCTCGAAGTCTTTGTTTGCCTCGTATTTTCAAAATGAGAAGTGTTGCTACACTTGCAACAATATAGGTGCAAGAGCTTGTTATGAGACAGTATTTGTATTCTGGGTAACCTCATTGATGCCTCAAATTATAATATAATTAAGATTGATTAATCATTTGAGTGCAAATAGTCCAACCACTACCGTACCAAAAATGGAGAAATTATAAGTGATAAGAGAAGATAAATTTATGTTTTTAATAAATTTAGCTCTCAAAGAGTTTGTAGCAACATCTATGGGTTCATATATGATACTTGTAAAAAGTTATTGTCACTTAGAATTCTCATATCTCTTATCGGTTATGCCATGTTGCCATGTAGTACATTCATGAATGCATGCACTTGTGTTTTAAGGTAAGCTTGAGCAAATAGATTAATAAGTTAATCATATCCAAGTTGATGCAGCCAAAAAGTGCTGGTCGGATAAGTAATTAAAAATAAAAAAAAATGGAAATGTGTAAATACTTGCATTTTTTTTCCCATATTAATAAAAAAAAAAAAAAATAGCCTCCCATTCATTAGTTACTGTAAAGTGGGAACTGATAATATGTGACTCAATAATAAAGCAGGTAATTAAATGTTTCTTACACGGCCAGTGTAATTGTCATTCTTCAATACACTACAGTTATTCTCATTGACAAGGTTTCACGAACATTTTCTTGTTTACGTGCTTCATTTTTTTTTTTAATTCTCCTTGCAGAATGATTTTTCAAAAATTTAAACTATTATTCTGCTGTATTGGAAGATTATGTCCATGTTCAACCTATATTAATTTCATCTTTTGACTCGTTTTACCATTGCAAGCACTTTTTGGAGGTATTTTCGCATGTCGCGGCTTTCATTCCCCACTTGGGAGAAATGTCAGTGCATCCTAGGTAGTATCCCAATGCGTCATGCACTACATCAGTTAGCAACTAGAATGCGGCAACACTTCTCCAACCCTGTCAGATCATGTGACACATTCATATTACAAACATGTCTACCGTGCTTAATCAAAATTATTTTGTTTAATTTTAATGTATTATTATTTGATAACGATTTTCTTAATAGTTTTCAATCACGCAAAACTTTTTATTGTGCTGCCCGCTCACACAATTAATTTTACCTTGTTTCTGTCATGTGATATTGGATAAATTAATAATTCACGTCTTTTGACAGTATGATGCCTTTGATATTGGATTTATAACAACCGATGAATTTACAAATGCCGATATTTTAGAAGCAACTTATCCGGCTGTTGCAAAGAGATTGCACGGCGATTGGGTTAAGGATCCTGCAATTCCTGTAGTGACTGGCTTCCTTGGAAAGGTTGCTTCCATTATGATTCCTGTGTATATTTCCTTGATTACCGTGCTTCTCTTGTCCATAATTTTCTATGATCCCAGAAATAAGAAATCATAATGAACATTTGATTGTAGGGTTGGAGAACTTGTGCAGTGACTACATTGGGTAGGGGTGGTAGTGATTTGACTGCAACAACTATTGGTAAAGCATTGGGCTTGGGAGAAATTCAGGCAAGTGATTTTCAACACTCTGGTTTTGCTTTGAGAAGAAAAAGAGCATTACTATCTGCTCTGCTCTGCATTGAATTATTCTATTGTATACTATACATGCATCAAAATGTATAATCTCTCCCATCACTGTTTTGTCCTTTTCAGGTTTGGAAAGATGTCGATGGTGTTTTGACATGTGACCCCAACATTTATCCACAAGCAGAGCCAGTGCCATATTTAACCTTTGATGAGGCAGCTGAACTTGCTTACTTTGGCGCTCAGGTATCACTAGTGCTATATGCATTGCATATCATAGCTAAATTGCCAGGCTTCACTCTCTCAGCCGGATAAAGTGAGGTGTTGCTGGGTTAGACTTGGAATCCAAACACAAGTTTATTTGTAAATCAGCATATATAAGAATATGCAGCTAGTTTGTTGATTGAAGATGACATGTAATAGAGTTACTTGCCAAATAGTGCCCCCTCTTCTTTATGCTCAGTATAACGTGCTTATGCCATGCTTCTATTTCTTTGGACTTGAAGGTCCTCCATCCACAGTCCATGAGGCCAGCTAGGGAGGGTGATATTCCTGTGCGAGTTAAGAACTCGTACAATCCAAAAGCTCCAGGAACCCTGATTACTCGAGCAAGAGATATGAGTCAGGTTTGCAGCATAATGATGTTGACAAACAAAACATTGTTAATGGAATGGTCAAAAAGCTTACATCTATTCTTCTCCATTTACAGGCGGTACTTACTAGCATTGTCTTGAAACGGAATGTAACAATGTTGGATATTGTCAGCACCCGAATGCTTGGTCAATTTGGGTTTCTTGCGAAGGTGAGGCGCACATGCTGCTTGCTTTTGCCTGGTTTGACAAGTATTCCAATTCTAATGAAATTTCCATCTGTTCAGGTGTTTTCAATCTTTGAAGAATTAGGAATATCTGTGGATGTTGTTGCAACTAGTGAAGTTAGTATTTCCTTGACGTTGGATCCTTCCAAGCTTTGGAGCAGAGAATTGATCCAGCAGGCAAGCGTATGAAATGGGGCAGGGCTTTTTTTATTACCAAGGATTTGTATAAGCTTGAAAAATATTCCATCAATTTATCGTTTCACTTTCACTTTGAATTTTAGCTGTGGGCACGAGTCTTTCGTTTGCTCCACTAGATGTCTTACCTTGTTTCTCACTTGTTGAGCAGGAACTAGATCATGTTGTGGAAGAACTCGAAAAAATTGCAGTTGTGAATCTTCTACAGCACCGATCAATCATCTCTCTCATAGGAAATGTTCAGAGGTCATCGCTAATAGTAGAAAAGGTGCTACTATGAACGCCACTACATTTTAGCATAGTTATCTTTTTGGTTTAATGCTCCTCATTTTTAAAAATTTGCTTTACAATAATGTTAATTTCTAGGAATTATTTTGCGCCTCCACGTTCTTCGTTGTTGATATTTTCGATAATTATTCTGTAAATATATTTTGTTAAAGCGTTTCATTTATCATGTGGCAGGCATTCCATGTGCTTCGTACGAATGGAGTCAATGTTCAGATGATCTCTCAAGGTGCTTCAAAAGTCAACATTTCATTGATAGTAAATGACAGCGAAGCCGAACAATGTGTTAGGGCTCTTCACTCTTCTTTCTTTGAGAGTGATATATCGGAGCTCGTATCGGGAAATGGTTCGATCGACGGTTGGAAACCAACATAAATTTTGTCACGACAGTCGCTTTCTGATTCATATTTAAAACACGTCTCTCTCAAGTAGTAGATTTTCTTGTTTTCAGCAGAGTTGAACCCTAGCGATGCGGTGCATTATTGTTTACCTTGTGCAACTGCAATATACAATGATCCAAATATTAACTTTTGAGGATTATTCATAATCTAATGTTGTTATTTTTTATTTTTATTTTTGATAACGGACATGTATTATATAAAGCAATGTTGTCTACTTGTTAGAAATTTAATTGGATGGTAAAAAAAATAAAAAATAAAAAAAATTCCTATACGTACTTTGATTTCATATAATAAGATTTGAATTGGGTTAGGCATGTGCACGCTTTGATGCTGTTTTGATTAAAAAAATAAAAAAATTGTTCCATCACTCTCATACCAGTGTGGAATTGTGGATTCAAGTTGGTTACGCATTTGTAGGGATCGCAATTGGGTCGAGCGGTTTGTTGACTCGATCGTTCGACTAGCGAAAACGGGACTTGTGGGCGGTTCGAGCCTGTAAAAATACAAGTTCGAGCCCAATGCTCTGGCCCACTCAGCTCGCACAAATGGCGAGCCGTTTGTGGGAAATGAGCCGCGAGCTGGCTCTCATGGCTCGTTAAATGACAAGCCATGAGCAGCTCGTGGCTCGCCAATTTAAAGTGATCGTTTAGATAACTGAACTTATTTTATTTTATTTTTATTTTTTCCACTTCTATAAATAGTCCCATAAACACTTAATTTTTTTTCATCTCAATTTTCAACTCTCTTTCTTTCAAGTCTTAACTCTCTTGTGCAAAATAGCCTCGATTACTTAATCAATTATTTACAATTATACAATATTGATTATTTTTTATAGTTTATTCAATTTCAATTTCAATTCATCAAATTACCATTTCTCATTACATCTATTAAAGTTTTGTCTAATTCTCATTCCTTACAACATTTATACTTTTACTAGTTATTATATTTGTATTTTATCACAAACAATCAAACGAATAAATCCACGTTCATTTGTTGAGGGTTCGTTCGATACGGGATATGGCGAATCGCCTAGGACGCCACATAGTCAATTTCGGAATGAATTTGACGGTCTAAATGACGTACCCATATTGAAGATGTTGATATTCATGTCATGAAAACAACAATTCATTTGATTTTGATGATATTGACGTTCTCGAAGCGGAACATAAGGACGAAGAGCCCGAACTAAACATTCCAAATGCGAGGGGAGAGCGAAAAGGAAAAAAACCAAAATGTTGTGATCACTTTAAGTTGATGTCAACGGAAAAAGTCATCGATGGCCTCGCCGAATCAAAATTAGTATGTAAATACTGCTGACAAAGATTGACATGGTAAAAAAGAATTGATACCACCCATCTCAACCGCTACTACAAAACATGTGATATCAAACATGGGCTTCTTCCAACCGGTCAAACACAATTGCAATTTAACAGTTTAGGCGTCGGTTCTACGACTTTACTCATATCCACGTGGGTGTATTCGAAGGAGAAAGCTCGAATTGGAATGGTGAAATTTGTTGCCACCATTGAGTTGTCTCTGACTATTGTTGACAACCAACACTTCGTCTTATATGTAAAAAAATATCTGCAACCAAGGTACGTTGAGGTAAGTCGAAACACTATTCGTGCCGATACAATATAATATTTCAATTATTCAAAGCAATTAATTATAACTTTGCAACAATATGAGGGTGTTATATCTTTAATTTCAGATATATGTGAAGGGGTTAATAAAAGAGTTTATATAGCTGCAATCGCACACTATATAGACCCACTTTGGTGCATGCATAAAAAAATTATTGCTTTTAAAATTATTGAGTTTCTTCACAATACTAATAATATATATAATGTTTTTATTAGTATTGTTAGAGAATTTAATTGCGAGACTAAAATTCGGTCATTTACTTTCGATAATATTAGTGTTAATAAGGTAATTGTCGATAAATTGTGTAGGGTACTGCAACTTGATTTCGATGAGTATTTGTTTTATATTCGTTGTGTGCGTTATATTTTGAATTTAATTATGCAAGGTGACTTAAAACATAAAAATAATGAGCTTCAAAAGATTTGGAATGCACTAGTATAAATTACGATCTCCCCTAGTATAAAACAAGCATTTGAAGATTATTGTGCCGAAATAGGGGTGACGATTGCTAAAATATTTGTTAACGACGTAGGCCATAGATGGAATTCTACTTACTTGCTATTAAAGTCATATGAAGATTTCGAACATTTAATAACTGATTTTTATAACAATAGACACGTTAGAAGCGATGAGGAAGCTATGTTGAATGAATCCGTTTGGCGTTTAACTTTGAAAATTAAAAGATTTTTGACATCCTTTTATGAGACCAGAAAGATTTTATCGGGCGTTTATTATTTCATAAGTTGTATGGTGCTTGAAAGCCTTGATATAATTGTAAGAACATTCCATAAATATAAAAATAATCTTGATTTTTGTGAAATTATAATTGTTATGGAATTAAAGTTTGAAAAATATTGGGAAGACTTGCCCATGTTATTTCCTTTAACATGCTAATGGATCCCTGATATAATTTATCAAATCAACAAAGCCTTAACGTTTAATACGCATATCACATATAGGAATTTAGAGCAAATATTATGTGAAATGTATGAATTATATGCGGACCGAATGTGTGTAAATGTTAGTCGGGTACACTCTACACCTACTCCTTCTACTGAAATTGAAGAAAATGACGCTGAAATAATGAATTTATTTCAAAGCATTAATACATATAGATATGATGCAACTACAATGTGTTATGCTAATTCCATCCAAAGTTGATCAAGTCTTTCAAAACTCTAAGACTACCATTCTGATTAATGAGTCCATCTGGTGACAACATGCTCAATTGTTTGCGAAACAAACACCTTCACAGGTCCTTCTATAAATAGGAAGGGTAATCTGACTATTCAAATGGAGAAAACTGATTATTAAGTCTACAAAGCTTCCTCAATATTCATCCAATTAAGACATTCTATCGCCATTAGTATCACTTTCATCTTTCACCATTCACAATCATCGTCCAACTATTTCATCATTTCAATAACAAAAATCATCAATGCCAGCCTTTTGAATCAATTGTAGATTTGAACATCTAAAGAACAAGTCAACATATAAATGTAGTACAAAATAGAAGCTCAATCCTTCTCCGATTATGCGTAGAGGGATCTTTGAAGAATTTGCCTCGATCATTTACCTCAAAAATGACGATAAGTTTGGTAAGATCATTTGTTGGACTGTTTGCCCTCAATAATATAATTTATGTCAAGTTAACATGTCTCGAAATTTTTCAGTATCTTTTCCAATACACCATAACAAATTTAGATGCTGCTTTTTCTCATAAATGCTGCCTGCGTACTTGTGGCAGGTTAGTAAGTATTTGATTTGGAATGGATAGAGCTGATAATTGATATATTATGTTTGCACTTGTATCTTAAGTTTTATAGTTCTATCTAAGAATCATGACTAAGAAGAAACTATATTTTTTTCCTTATCAATTTGTTTGATTTGGAAGTTTGATTGTGCCACTAACTAAAAAATGTCTACATCATCACTGTATGTCAGAATCATTTATCAGCTTAAGAGATTGAACTTCAAATAAAACTATACAAAGTCAAGCTACACATGAAAATTTTGAAAAACTTTTGGAATTACGTAGTTATGAATTTTGATTTCAGTTATTTACTTAACATTCATCTAATCCAATATTAATCAGTTACTTTTTCATATGTGTTAACTATCAAATTAACCAATGATAGTTAGTGATCTCTCTCATTTAAAAATAACATTATTCACATATTCAGACTCAGTGTATTTCTACATAAAGTTATACATATGTAAATACATTAAATCGACATCAATCTCAATAAAGAATGTCAAACTAGGATTAGTTCTGTCCATATTATGGTAATACAAGGCTAGTTTAGTATGATTCTTCTCAAGTGAACCCACTAAATTCTTCGAGATATATTCTTTAACCTTTCAAGCCTTTTGATGAGTGACCTTTTGATAACTTGACCTCCAAACTCTCAACGACGTCGTGAATGATATCTGCATGTCTATAAATTATCCTAGATTTTGAAAATTGTTCATTTTATGTCTTCCAATGACTCATAATCTTGCTTGTTTATGATCATTGTGACCAATACCCACAGAGCAACTATGTTTTTGTGATGCCACATTACCTAATGTTTCATACAAAGGATACCCCTTCTTTAATAATTCTGCATGTTTATTCATATTAAAATTCATTTATTAACTATGAAGTTTATTATAAGTTAATGATTATGCCAGTGAATGGTCCAAAGATACTGAGATGACTTCAAATGCCTAATTGATGAATGCTTGCCACATTTTAATTGTAATGCACACATGCCATGTTTTCAATTCAAAATATATATTGTTATTACTAGTTGCTACTTAAATTGAGAGATGGCAATAAATTGACTTTGTGCTCATATTATTACGCTCCATGACTAAATAAATACTAATAATAAAAGATAAGAAGTTCGTAAAATTTTAAGAATTATCTTTTGTAATATTTTTATCAGAAATGATTTTCATACTTACATATATTTAATAAAGGTTGAATCGTGAATGTCTGTTACTTGGAAATGCTTAATTACAAGATTTAATTATTTAATTATTTGATTTATTAATAATTTCATTTTGAAGGAGAAAAAATTACTTAAAGATATGAAAATATTTTAATTCCATTCTATGATAATATTAATAGATTTAGTTGTTTTAATTAATTTTGGAAACACTTATACCTTCTTTTCTTAGATTGTGATTTCTTTGACCTCAAAATTCATCACACATTTTCTTAGTAAGTTTGGAAAATTTGTGGAACAATAGCATATGTTAGTGCTTTGACATCATAATAAATTCTTTACTATCATATAAGCTCACATAGTTTTATTATCCTTATAAAAAATCCTAATATCTCCAAATATAGTTCTATAATTCTTCTTCCTTTCATTCTTTATACCCTCTTACACACACACACACACACATATATATACATATTCAACATTGAGTTGTTGAAAAAATAAAAACGAAAAAGAAAGAGAGCCATTTTCAAGTTATTTTTGATTTAGTGGTCGAAAGCAATATTCTAAAAAGAGAAAAACGTGGTTAGGTGTGGAGGCAAAACGTC